TTTCTCTTCCACATTGGGTAATATGTGAGAAATGGCTGCTCCTACTCCATATAGTGAGGCATCACATGCTAGTTGCAACTATAACTTTGGGTCAAAATGAGTCAGGACTTCTGACATTAATATATCCTCTTTGGCTTGTGTAAAGGCTGTTTCACATTGATCTTCCCATTTCTAATTCTTGTTTTGGCAACAGCTTGAATGGTTGCAAGGTTTGGGACAAACCTACCGTAGTAATTTAGCAAGCCCAAAAATGATCATAAGTTGGTTCCATTGTTTAGGTACTGGTGAATCAGTTATGGCTTATTTTTGAAGGTGGTCTAAATATTCGATGGAAGATTTAAGGAAAAAAATTCACTCCTGGCCCATAATCTTCAAGTCTCTGGAGTAGCATCAAAATTTTCGAGGTGAAGTTTTAGTGACATGGAGAAACAAAAACAAAAGAAAAACAGCATCTAGGTAAAACTGGAGACTCCTTCCAACCCACTTCAGATCTAATCCACAGCAATGATGGAATAACACAGATGCAGATGTGATTCCAAAATGAAGTCTCTTGTATTTCAATAGTCCTTTTGTTTTTAATGTGTTAAAACCGTCAAGTATTTCTGTGACTCAGGATCTACATTTATTTGGAGAGAGGCTGGACCAAAATGAATTTTACTGAAAAGCTGATCTCCAGCTAGTCTAGCAAATAGGTCATCCATTTAAAGGCAAAGGATACAGCTCAGCGCACAGTACCAGATTAACAGTGACCTTGAAATCACCATAGATGCATTTGATCCATCTTTCTTCTTCATTCACTGGCACGGTAAGCATGGGCTCATCACAGATTCAAGGACTCCCATCTTGACCTGCCTCTCTAATTCTGTCTTGACCTTTGGTCTGATTTGCACAAGGCACTGATCTAGCCTTGCAACATTTTACTTGATTCTCATCCTTGGTTTTCAATTTGACAGCTCTTGTTCCATGCTTCCCAGATCCCCCACTGAAAAAAAATGGCATGTTTCTTCACAATATGTCATAGATCAGCCTCAGAATCTGACAAGCAATTTACATCAGTTCAACAGTTTGATTTTTCACCAAACACATTCTCCCAATAAAGCTGGACATTTTCTTTTGGCAACGTGCAAGGATAAATATTCAGACTGGCATGTATAATTTAACGTTGATACACCCTTTAAAGGCACCACTTCACATATGAATGTTCTTTGTACAATTCTTGAGGATTGCAGCATAATGTGATTCCGCTGCTTCTGATGCACAGTTTTTCAGGTATCACTGAAACTGCTGCTTTGGTGTTCACCTCCATTCTCACTAGTTTGCCATTCAGAAAGGGATGATCCAGTATTGGTTGATGTCACCAGCAATGGCCAGTATGCTTAATAAAAGCTCCTCTTCGGACTGAGTCTTGGCTTTACTGATGCCCTCGTTTTTCCTGTACCGTGTCGATTTTTTTTCTTCTTACTCTTCGGCTTTTGTGTTTTTGCCGCGTGTTGTTTGTGTTTCTTCCTCAAACAATCTGCCCCCTTTTGCCATAGTTTCTGCATATAGCTTCTTCATACCAGCAGTTTGCTGCAGCATGATTTATTTGTCCACACTGATGCCAGTTTAGAGTCTGCATTCATGCTTGCTTTGACAGAGCTAGAAGCCATGGAAGCTGAACAATTAATCTCGAAGATAAGAGTTCACAAAATGGCGGATCTGTCATCCGCCATTTTGTGAACTCTCATGCTCGAGATTAGCTGTTCAGCTTCCATGGCTTCTAGCCCCATCCTGACTGCTATTTCCAGCACTATCTTGAAGTCCCTAGTTCCTTTTCTGTCAGTACCTCTTCAGAATTGGTTCATATCTTTAAACTACATGCCAATGTGTCACCGTTAGCATCATTTGTCTCCAAATTCACAGGATTCTGCTAACTTCTTTAAAATTGCAATGACCCGGGAGATGGATTCACCATCATGCTGATTTGCATTGGTGATTGCCGAAAGGTGCAGATTCTACAAATGGTTTTGTTCAAAAATGGTTCTGTAGGATGCCTATTAAGTTTTGGAACCTGGCTTCTTTGGCTGTACCAGACTCGTCAGGAGGTTGAAAGGTCTTTCCCTGCGGAATGCAGGGGAAATTGTATCTGCTTCGATTTTGTTTGCTTGAACAAAGTAATGGAATCGCTGTAGGAGTTTCAGTTCCCTGCATTTTTATCATCTGGTCCCACGGCATCAAAATTTCTACCTTTTTTCAATGGGGAAGAGCCTGCGTAGCACAGCGTACAATGAGAAACTTTCATGTGCTACTTTGCTTCTTTCCGTATATAAAACAAGGTATTCCTAAGGCTGTCTGTTTGTTTCTTTGAGCCTATACCCCTAGCCCAAGCTCAGACATTTCCCTCTGTGTGCAAAGTACTTGATACACAGTGTTTCTTCAGGGGCAGCACCTAACAAGCTGCTTCTGCATTGTTCACCTCTTCCCTGGGGTGAATTTTCTTTGCTTTCAAGCAGTTTTTATCCCTGTTGTCCGTTTTCTTAATTTCCAAGCAGGACCAGGTGACCTCAGTGTTCAACAGCAGGACAGGAATCAATTTGGTGAACCTGGGATGGCAGAACTGACGGATGAGAAATGGGGCTGGTTAGGATTCTATTCGCTGGAGTTCAAAAGAATTCTAACAGGACTTGACAAGTAAAATGCTGGAAGGATATTCCTGCTGATGGGGGAGTCCAGAACCAGGTGTCATAATTTAAACAAAAGGCGGCAAACCGTTTTACGACTGAGATGAGGAGAAATTTCTTCACCGACGCAGTAGTGAGCCTAAAGGAATTCACGACGACAGAAAGTGATTGAAGCCAAAATATTATGCATTTTCAAGGAGATAGATCAAAGCTCTTGTGGCTAAAGGGATATGGAGGGGGAGGATGAAATGTGAGGTATTAAATTCTATGATTATAATGGCAGAGCAGGCTCAAGTGGTTGCATGGCCTCTTCCTGCTCCTATGTTGAGTCAGAGATAGTAGGAACTGCCGATGCTGGAGAATCTGAGATAACAAGGCGTAGTGCTGGATGAACACAGCAGGCCCGTCTTCAGAAGAAGGGTCCAGACCCGAAACGTCAGCTTTCCTGGTCCTCTGATGCTGCTTGGCCTGCTGTGTTCATCCAGCTCTACACCTTGTTATCCCTGCTCCTATGTTTCTGTTTTTATTATGGAGGTGCTCACTACAGACAGCAAGGTTAAAGAGAGCTGTCTACCCACTCAAAATACCCAATGACATCATTACATCACATGATTGGACTCTTAAAGTAACAGTCCACCATACTTGTACAAATACACAACGCTGTTGATTCCATGTTTGCTACGGTTCTTTGATGCCACGTTCAGTAAAACGTGGCCTTGCTGGGACTTTTTCACTGGAGTGTTAGAGGTTGAGAGGCTACATTATAGAGTTTCACAAAATCATGAGTGTATAAGTCGGGTTAATGGTAGGTGTCTTTTCCCTAGGATGGGGGATTTCAAGACTAGCGGGCATATTTTTAAGGTGAGAAGAGAGAGGTTTTACAAAGAAACATGGGAAAATTTTTACATAGAAGATGGTTCAGGTGTGGAATGAACTTCCTGAGGAAGCGGCGGATGTGGGCACAGTTACAATGTTTAAAAGACGCTTAAACAAGTACATGAATAGAAAAGGTTTGGAAGGATATGGGCAAGGACCAGGCAGGTGGGGCTAGTTTAGTTTGGAATTATGTTCGGCATGGACTGGCTGAACCAAAGCGTGTGTTTCCATGCTGTATGATTGTATGACAATCACCCTCCCCTCTCTTCTGGAGTTCAGCTGTTTTCTGTGGAAAATTCATAGCCATTTTCACTCATCCAATAATTCAAACCTGCAATCTTTTTCTTTCTTCCAGTAGTGCACACTCTTACAGTTCTGAAAATCCACACATTTTTGACTGGACTTTCCTTTCTGTCCTTTTCACAGTAGCTGGCTCACTTGCCACGCTGAAAATCAACAAATTTTAACTGCATTACTCTCTCACACATTTCGAGTACTGTCTATAATGGCTGCCAGTGAACGCACTCAAATGCCCATATAGCAGAGGTGGGGGTCATGTGACTACTGCAAGCCAACAAATACACTATGTACAATTGCATTTCTCCAAATGAAGATTATCTTAAATTTTACATGATGTAACAACCCACCCAGAGTGGAGATCAACATATGCACTCTGAAGTGAATTAGGCCAAACTTCAGAAATCTACCATTCAGGAATACTGATTTACTGCTCATCTTCTAACATTGAATAAACATGTCAAATTGACTAAATATTAGAATAGATTAGTTTTGATCTTGTACTAACGATTTGCACTCAAAATGCAATTTCTTAAAAACTGAATCTGGAAGGGGAAATACCAGTAAAACTTGTGAATAACACAAAATGGTCTGACCCATCTTGTATACTTCAAAATGGAGGACAAGCATGACCACTACATTTCCAAGTATTATTGTTTGTTTTTTCTAACTGTTTTCCTACTGTGAAATCACTCCAACGATTACATCTCGATTGCCGTAACTTTCCAATTTGGTTTAAATTATTTTCAATCAATATGTTCGGACATGTTATGACATAACTCTGGGGCATGTGGGACTTTTTCCCTGGACTGTCTGGCCCAGGGATAGGGACATTACCACTGTGGAAAAAGACCCTCTAATTTGGTTTAACGCTCACATTGATTTGTATTGTCATTTAAGATTTGGTATTTTCATTCACCTTTAGCACCATTGAGTTAATATTCTACACAGTTAGTGAATGCAAGCCAGCTGTTGTAAAAAGCTACTTTGAAATGTATTGCGATTTTTGCGCAATAATGAACTGTTGAGTCAACAGAGGGTTAGACTTCAGCGGTCAAAAGTCCTCTGAATTTAACCAGAAACCTCGCTTCTTTGTCTGGTAAGCATTTGCTCATATACCTCTTTAAAGTTTAAAGATTTCTGTTTCTCCACCTTTCTACTTTTGGTATCTTGAGACTTTCTGTCATTTAAGTTCTTAAATGTTTCACCTTCAAGTAAATGAAACAAGACATGCTTGAAAAAGGTAAGTTTATCCCTTTTAAGTTTTGAGCCAACTTTTCATCAGCACCTGAGTCAAATTAGACAGGAATCGACTGTTCAAAATCTGTATGCTGCTAAATAGGAATCCGGATAATATTCGGCTAGCACAGCATTGTTACTGTAAAAGTATGTTCCAGTTTTACTTAAGCACTATTATTGGAAACTGCAAACCAGAGAAATCTGTAAGCAGCAGCATGAGTGCAATAGGATCTTGTTCAGCTGGGTAATATATTGCAGCAATAAGAAAACTTACTTTTAATTGACATTCTGAGGGAAAAGTTGTATCACCACTTCAACTGGTGGGAGTACGGTGTGAGTCCACACTGATCAGGCTAGAGGCAATGTACTTACTGTTGCTCATGAGGTGATCTGTGAACCTGCCAACTGTCTAATGAGGGATCAAATCATACTTGGCAGCAGTAAATGATTAATTCTCATCACGTGGATGATATAAATAAAAGATCTTCAGAGTTAAAGTTCAGAACCAAGGCAACACTCTTATGGCAGACTCAGTAACTTGACACCTCGCCAAGATGGTCCGTGGTATTCTGGTTGATGATTACCAAGTCAGTCTGGCTCAATAATGAAACGTGGAGGTGTTTACTCATCACTGTGGGGACAGATCCTTCCCACTTTAAATTGCAGATAAGCAAAGACCCTGAGATATAATCAGGCCGATCTGGAAAAGTGGCAAGAATCTTACCAATGGCAACCTGGTGATTTTAACCAGTTGAATTCCAGCAATATCCCTGGACACAGAGCGTATGCATGAATTAGGAGTAGGAATCACCCATTCAGACCCTCCAGCCTAATCCACTCTTCAATAAGATCACGGCCGATCTGATTGTAGCCTCAACTCCATACTCTCACTGATTTGTTGATGGCCGCAGATTCCTTTGTTAGTCAAGAATCTATCTACCTCTGCCTTGAATGTATTCAATGAGCCTGCCTCCACGTCTCTCTAGGAAAGACGCATGATCTTTTGAGATTTTAAAAACAAATCCTCCTCACCTTTTTATCCTTTTAAAAATAGGGGGTTTCCTTTTTATTGTGTCACCCTAGTTCTAGCCCCTCCTACAAGGGGAAACATTGGTTCAGCATCCACCCTGTCAAGTACCCTCAGGTTCATATGTGCTTCAGTAAGATCACCTCAAATTCTTCCAAACTTCAGTGAACACACTTTTCCTCATAAGATAACCACCCATTCAGCCAGCAGTTGAGTGAATCTTCTCTAAGGCATTTTCTTTCCCATCTTAAATAAGGAGGTCACAACTGTACACAGTACTCCAGATGTGACCTCTTCAATGCTCTATACAACTGTAGCAAAACATCCCCGATTTTATATTCAATTTTCCCTCTAATAAACAACAACATTCCATTTGCCTTCCTAATCACTTCCTATTCTTGCATATTAACATCTTGTGATTCATGTAAGTAGGTTTCAGAGCTCAGCAATCTTTCTTCATTTTAAATAATATGCTCGTTTCTATTCTTCCTGCCAATGGACAAGTTCATTGTTTCCACAACATAATCCATCTGCCAAAATTTTCCCACTCGCTTCACCTATACGTAACCTTTTGCAGACTCTATGCCATGTTCACAGCTTACCTTCCCACCTGCCTTTTTATATTGTCAACAAATTTATCAACTCGACTTTCATTCCCACCATTTGCCATTGATATAACTTGTAAACAATTGAGGCTCCAACACCGATCCTTGTGGAACATTACTCGACATCCTGCCAAACCAAAAATGATCTATTTAAACCGACCCTCAGCTTCCTATTAGCCAACCAATCCTCTTTCCTGAATGTTGGAAAAGGCAGCTACAACAATGCATTCGTAGTGTATTAGGCATAATTTCCTAGAGCAATATGTCACAGAATCATAGAATCTCTTCAGTGCAAAGGGAGGCCATTTGGCCCATCGAGTTTGCACCAACCATCCAAACAGCATCTCACCCAGACCCAGCCCCCACCCTATCCCCATAACCCCATATTTACCATGGCTAATCCACCTAACCTGCACATTCCTGGATACTATGTGGCAATTTAGCGTGACCAATCCACCTTAACTTGAACATCTTTGGACTGTGGGAGGAAACTGGAGCACCCGGAGGAAACCCACACAGACACAGGGAGAGCATGCAAACTCCACACACAGTCACTCAAGACTGGAATCAAACCCAGGTCCCTGGGGCTGTGAGGAGGAGACTACTCATGGAGCCAACCAGCGAATAGGCTATCCTGTATCTGGTAATGGGTAATGAAGCAGGTTTAATAAATGACCACCAAATAAAAGATTCCCTAGAAAGTAGTGATCATAACATGATAGAATTTATTATTCAGTTTGTGTGAGAAAATTGGGTCAGAAACAAATGTGTTTAACTTAAAGGGAACTACAATGAAACGAGGACAGAGTTAGTTAAAGTGGAGTGGGCAGACAGATTAGCAGGAATTGCAATAAGAAAACAGTGATAGACATTTGAGGAAGTAATTTATGACTCTCAGCAAAATTACATCCTAGTAACGAGACATTCTAAAGAGAAACAACCACAGCTAACCAAAGAGATTAAAGAGAGTATAAAGTTGAAAGACAAAGCATATAAGGAGGCGAAAGTCAGTGATGGCCATGAAGACCGGGATAAATTCAGAATCCAGCAAAGCAGGACAAAAAAAGATGATAGAGAAAACAAATTGCAAGGGCAAACTGGCAAGGAATATAAAAACTGACAATAAGAGCTATTTAAGTATATAAAAAGAAAGAGAGAGATCTAAGTGAACATAGGCCCCTTAGAAATTTGAATCTGGGCAGATAGTTATGCATAACAAGGAAATGTCCAATGAGTTAAATAGATATTTTGCATCAGTCTTTATGATGGTAGATACTTCAAACAGCCCAATAATACTTGAGAATGCATGGGAGGAACCAAGTACCACCACCATCACTAGAGAAGTAGTATGAGACAAACTGATGGGGCTAAAAGCAGAAGTCTCTTGGTCTTGGTGGCTTGCATTCACAGGTCCTAAAAGAAGTAGCTACAGAGATAGTAGATGCATTGGTTGTAATTTTCCAAAAATCCTTGGGTTCTGGAGAAATACCAGGAGACTGGAAAATTGCCAATGTGATACCCCTATTCAAAAAGGGAGGCAAAAGATGGGTAACTCTATACCAATTAGCTTAAAATCTATCATTGGGAAAATGTTGGAATCAATTATTAAGGAAGCAACAGCAGCACATTTAGAAAATCTAATCTAATCAGACAGAGTCAAGCATGCCTTCATGAAAGGGAAATCATGTCTGACTTATTAGAGATTTACAAGGAAGTCATATCCAGAGTGGATAGAGGGGAACCTGTAGATGTGTTGTATTTGGACTTCCAGCAGGCACTGGACAAGGTATGTCACAAAAAGTTAAGTCATAAGATAACAGCCCATGGTGTTGGAGGTAGCATATTGGCATGGATAGCGAGTTGGCTATTGGGCAGGAAACAGGGGATGAGGGTTCCTTTTCAGGTTGGCAACCTGACGCAGCCACTTCTTTTAACACTTTTTTAAGATTTAAGTCAATTAGGGCGAGGAGACCTGTCATATTTTATTTCAAGTCTTTTTCAGTGCCCTCTTAGTGGCTAGAATTGGTCTTAATTTCCTCATTCCTTTTCCTATTCTGATTCACAATTGTTTCTGGGATTTTATTTGTATCCTCTACTGTGAAGACAAATGGAAAATCTGTTTAATTCATCTTCCATTTCCCTATTTTCCATTAGTAATTCCCCAGACTCTCTCTCTCTAGTGGACCAAAACTTAAATACTTGTAGAAACTCCATTTTATTTAACATTTCTAGCGAGCTTTCTTTCATCCTCTAATTTCCTCTTCCTTAATAATCTTTTATTCATTGTTTGCCAGTCTTTATATTATTATGTCTAATCTTCTGACTTGCCAAAAAAACAAAGAACTGTAAATGCTGAAAATCTGAAACAAAAACAGAAATTGCTAGGAGAACCTCAGCAGAACTAAAGAAGAGTCACTGGGCCTAAAATTTTTACTTTGCTTTCTCTCCACAGACGTTACCAGACCTGCTCCAGCTATTTCTGTTTTTGCTTCTGACTTGCCACTTGTCTTTGCAGAGTTACATGCTTTTCCTTTCAGTTTGATACATCCTTTAATTTCCTCAGTTAATCATGTATGATGTGTCCTTCTCTTAGTATCTTTCTTTTTCACTTGAATTATATCTTCCCTGAGTATTCTGAAATATCTCCTTAAATGTCTGCCATTGCATCTCAACTGACCTATCCCTTAACCAAGTTTCTAAATTCACTTTAGCCAGTTTTGTCTTCATATGTTCATAATTGTTGGTTAAATTGAAAACACTGGTGTCCGATCCATTCTTCCCTCCCACAAAGTGAATGAGAAATTCAAACATTATGATCACCACTACCTAGGGCCACTTTTTTTTTACTATAAGGTCATGAATAAAGGCTAGCATCTCTTGTGCCCATGCCATCTTTGAAAGGCTGCTGTGCACCCAGACATTTGTTGGCAATCCATTGTTACCCCTTGCCAGCAATGTAATGGTATAGCACATACAAAGCCACAATACTTAGGGCACATAACTGGCATGACTGACACTCCCTCTCATGTACGACCCCATTTCCTCACCCTAGTCACTGTTTAACCACCAAGCCATAAATCTTGCCTGTCCTTAGCTACATCTTATCTAAAAATCTTCTCTCGGTCCTCACTACTCTGTCCCCACCGCCTGCTGTAGATCTGCACCTTCTCATTGTCCAGTAGAGGGACATCACATCTAGGCAAGCAATCGGACAATTTCAAACATCAGCTTTAATTTGCAGCCACCATAAGGGAACACAAATAAAATGATGCAAACCAAATGCTGGCATCTTGACCAACAGTAGTTTTACATTCCATTGATGGTCTACTGCACCCAGCTCTCATTGACTGGAAGCAGGCGTTGATCAGGTCCTGTCTGGCCTGTAGTGCCCAATGCTCTGCCATGCACAAAGAGAGCTTCCTTCTCTCCAATGTCCTCATCCATGGAAGACTGCTCTCATTCTCCCATTTCCTCAGTATCTACCACATTGTTCCCGAATCCTACTGTCCAGGCTGCAGCACTGACCTTGTCATCGGGAAACAAAATGAACAATGTGATCTTACCCAGATGGCATCCATCACTGTCATGAGGCAGTTATGGTTGGATGACTGAGAGATCACACTCAGGGTATTCATCACTCCCTGGAAGGTGCTAGCTGCATAGAAGTTCAATGTTGCCTTCACAGCTACTGAGAGCGGATGGCCTCCCACCCGAACATAGTTCCGTCATAGTATCCCAGCACATACAGAGCCAGTGCTGACACTATGCCTTGCTCATGACCAGGAAATGGAGTCGGAGCTGGAAAAAATCCTGATCCTCCCACAGACCCCATGTGTCCTAAGCGGACCCTTTGGCTGTAACCTCTCCCCGACAGGGTGCTCCTCATCCTTTGTGGTGGCCTACTCCTGCACCTGAGCTAAAGCCCTGGTCCTCCTGCATTGCCTTCATCATCTTAGGAAGGCGGACATCCCACCAATGAATGGAGGAGAGATTCCTGTTGGAAATGGCTGACATTGGGAATGTAAGGCACGGTCTTAGGTCTCAGAAGATTCAGTGGTGGCAAGGGCTGTGTCCCCATTCAGTTTAGCCTCAGCATCAGCAGCAAGTTGGTGAGGGTGCCACATTGGCTAAGTGACCAACACTTTAAATCAAAAAGGGAGTGCCCGTTGCACTCAGACCCCATGTCATCCCAGACCCACATCAATCATTCAACTTTTCACTGCATTCAGTCCAGACCATTGTTAAACTTGCATGGCAGATGATGGAAGTGATGGTCTCTGCCTCCCCACAACAGCATTGGAAGTTGCACAATTAATGGGTCACCTTTAGCCAGCATCTTCCTCTTAAGTATTTGCAGCTAACTTCAGCATCATTGAGATGTTGGTGTTCAATTTGCCATGACCAATGGAGCAGCGTAAATCCCCATTGACCAACGTTTGAACCCTGAGCACATTCACTCCACACGCATTGCAAATGGATGATGAAATGATCGCAAATAAAATTTAGCTATAGTTTGCAAACACTCACTTCATGTATTCATCCTGCAGGGTCCTAGCATCCAGCAAACATGAATCCTGCGCTTTCCTCATCAACAGAACACTGATTCCACACCCTGGGCATCATCCCAGGCATTTTGCAGCTGCATTTCGCAGTTAGAGAATGGCAAGTGATGGCAGGGACGATAGCTTGCAGTGCCCACCTTGAGCACCAGGCTTCACCTGGTTGCCAGGTATCTCCCTCTCCTCACCTCGCTGAGAACACCCCTGTCTCCTTTTACCTCTGACAGCCCAATTCCACCCTTTTCCTACCCACTGCCTCCCGCCGCCCCCACCCCACCACCACCACCACCAGCCGCCCCAATGTGGAGATCCAACTCATTGAAATTCGCCTCCAACTAGCCTCCTTAACCTCCTGAGCCGGACATTTCAGTTTAATTATGCCCACCCTGCTCCTTTATGCTCTTCCTGTGGAAGCCATGGTCCTGGCCAATAATCACCGCCCCCCCAACCCCTCCTATAGCCTATCATGCCCTCCAATCCCCAGTTCTGCCTACCACCCGCATATACCTCCATATTTCTCCTGTCACCATCATTATCCCACCTCTACAAATGCCTCTGCTTTTACCCCCTCTGCTTTTAGCAGTGATCCCTCTGCTGCCCCAAGAGGGTCTGCTTATATCTTCCTGAAAGATCAAGGGACAGACCCTGAGGCCCATGTTCACGTAAGACTTCAGATGAACTGTAATGAACAGCCCTTAGATATGACTGAGCAGGCCTGTCTTTGCAGCACTCTGACTGACGGTCTGTGATGCCCCAGACAGCTTGGTGTGGCCCTACAGGACTGATTGGCGCTTACTCTCCACACTGTAGTTGCATAGATCCCTGGCTCTTGAGAAGCCCAAGCAGACGACTGGCTGTAGCCAAACCCCTGGATTTGTGTGCAGTCCGTTTCTGTGACTGATGGTTCTGGGACCACCCTGATAGTCAGCAGCCTCTCACTGATTGAACTAAAGACTAGCCCCCTGCGCCCCCAACCACCCACCCCCGCCCCGACCTCCTGTCTAAAATGGCCATGTGGGTGAGTAAACGAGCAGTGTTTACATGAAGGCAGCTGGCACACGTTGTAAGTGTTAGATTGGTGACGGAGTGCTGTTCATAAAGATGATACCCTAGACAGCTCCTTAACGACAAACAAACCTGTCCGTGTGTCTGCACAGAAGAGCATGTCACTACAGCAGTACTGATAGCCTTTCATTCTGGCTGAGGTGCCATTGCACTAACAAACATGATGCTGCATGGCAAGGCAAGGCAAGACAAGACAGGGAAGCTGGGAATATGCAGGTAAGTGCAAAGAGAGCAGCCTAGTCCCAATCCCTGAGCTGGGTGCCTGTCCCTGCATGTAAAACATCTGTACAGTCGCCTTTCAACGCTAGTTGCCAGTGCACCCTTAAATGAGGTCTGGAAATGGATTGGAGCTGTGCCTTGATGATTGTGAGGTGTGTTTTGCTGGTACTCATAGAGCATGCACTGAGATGCTGTTTAATGCTGAGCAGTGAGTTGGAGCGACCAGGTACACATCCTGATTTCCATGTCGAGATTTCTTGATGTCTAGCTTGTTCAGTGCGTTTGGCAAGATAAGACGCTAAATATTAATAAGGTGAGTCGTGGCATTAATAAGGTGATTAAAAAGCTACCATTCTCCTTAGTTGGCAACATCTAGCAAGAAACTCACCTTGCAATGAGTTGGTCCCAACATTGAGGTTGGCCTCACCAGACTTTTTGTGCAACTCTGTCACGAATCCTGCCATAGCCCATGGTGCTCAGGCCTGTATAAGATTCTGTCCCACTTTGATGCATTTAGAATATGTACAGAATGTAGAAAAAATTAGGGCACAGAAAGTGATGACTCATTGTCTCTGTGCTAGCTGAAATACAAGATATTTCATCTTGAGCATGTAAAAATTCCATGTAGATTGTTCAGTAGTTTGATCCGAAAACTCTAAATCATAGTGATGCATTCCACAGGCATCTGGTCAAAATAAAATCTTCGGTGACAAGTTATATGTTTCTGGGCACGGTGAAGAATTTTCTTATATCTGGTATGCCTGTACATAGATCTGACCATAAATTGATTGGTAAATTCTAATTTTTACTAATTTTGTCTTTCTGCAGATCACGTGAAATGAACATGTAGGCTAAAGACAAGCTCCAAACATGAACCCGAACCGTGATACTGGGCTGATCCATCAAATCATCTGAATTTTAAACTTATTAAATAGGAACGGCAACAACAAATCCCTAATCCATAGAAATCAGTGCGTCTCAATAACAGTAGCTGGTGGTATCTCACTTTGAGCTTGTCGATGGCAAAAAGTCTGCTGATCACTTATGTCCTTTGGTCATGTGGTGGACTTTTTGGTCTCCATCACATCTACCTTGGAAGAGACAATCATGCCTTACTATGGATGGTGACTTTTGGTGGATTTGGAGTCGGGTGGATAAGGGAAATTTGGCGACTGCCAAAGTATGTGCAAAATGCAAACATTCACCACAGTAAAATCAAAAGAAAAAGACATCCACAGCCATCAATGAGCATCGTCCGTGTCATTGGCCAAATTGCAGTTGGAGTTTATTTTGGTTTTGTTGCTCTTATAAGTCTATCGTCATTAACTGGTTTCTACATCATGGCGTTGCCACTGGCAATAACACTGGGTGTTCACCTTGTAGCCAGTGTTGGTGAAGAAACTTCCAACATAAAGACAACAATGATGGCTTCATTCATCACGTCTCCTATATTCTATGGAAGACCCATTGCGACAATACCAATTAGTATCGTCGCTAGTATTACCTCTACGCAACACCGCCAATACAAGACTCCAAGTCACACAGAAGACAACCTGAGCGTGCGACTCTACAGACTAGGTCTAGCTTGGCTGGCTTTCACAATGCCAATTTCTTACTGTGTGTTCCACAATACTACAGTTACAGCTTTATACGTCACAGACACCATCAGCCTTATTCTAGATTCAGTCCAAATATTCCCAATCCTTAGTGATCTTCTCGAGTCTGCATTCCTCCTCCCATACCATACTTGGAAGCTGTTTACTGGTGGGATTAGGTTAAGTTATGGATACAATTCGGAGTGGGAAAAGATATTTTCATCCATCTCTGCCATACAGGCTGAAAGAAAAAGGTTGGCATATGAGGTAATTATAAACAGATAATTCTATTTGATCCATTTCACGGTATACTCTTCAACTTCCCTATCTATTGTCTCTTCCCCCATCCTCCCAATCTAGATATTCCAGTACAGCTGAATGGTTAGGTCTGAAGTGTATGTGATACAAGGCTTTGAGCCTCATTATTATGGAAGTGGGCACTAGACTCCTGTAATGCCAGAAACAGCCATCAGGTAAATAGTTTAAGGAGGGGGGGTTGGGCCGTGAAAAATGCAATCCGGTTGGGTGGATAGTGATAATTGGATAGGATGGTAGTGAGTAGAGGCAGGGATTGGGAAGGATACAAGCCAGGTTCATTTTTGGACAGCAGTGAGAATCTGGGGGTTCCTGTGGAATTGGTGGTTGGTAGCACCTGTCTGGTTTGACCATGCAGTCAGGAGTAGCCCTTTTCTCCTTGTTCAGTTAGTTATGGCCTACAGTAGTTCTTCTGAAAACTACTTGTTAGGCCACAAGCAGACCTGGTTATCTTGAATGCAGTCAGTCCCACAAATCCATATTGCAGTGGGGACTACAACCAACTGTACATTAATTGAGTATTTAAGGAGTTGGAGGAGGGTGCATAAAGCAAATGAATGGATAGTGCAGGGATACAGGTAAAGGTGGAGGGCTAGTAAAATGAGGGAAAGGCAAAGGGGCAAGTGGCAATGCGTAAGGGATGCCTTTCTTCTAAGTGGGAGGAAAATGCAATCTACCAGGGTCAATATTCTTTTCAGTGAGGCTTGTAGCAGGAAGGGGATACGGGGAAGAAGAGGTGACATGATGGAATGTTCTTCAATCCTTCTTAATGACAATGGGAAGAGAGTGGAGTTTCTTGACAATAAAGCTAGGGAAACTAAGCGCTATGAGGGTAGGGTTGCAGTTATTAATTGTCACAATATCCATTTTAGATAGTTTTATTATAACATACCAACAAGAGGGTTTGTTTTTGGACTTCAGGCATTTGTTTCAAGGGTTCAAAATATGCCTTCATACTTTAATGTATTGTGTTCCACTGCACTATACAATCTGTCTTTCTTTGCCTATGGGACCAATGAATTAATTAATATTCTTCACGACTGTCAGTGAGGGTTAGATGTTGGTATTATTAGGAAACGCATTACTTATAGAAGGAGACTCATTAAGTTTTAATTCAGGTTTTCTGATTATTGACAATCCCTTTACAATTTGTATCAAAGGTTATTTAAAATGTGCTTTTACATTAAGGGCTTTTCCCAAAATTAAATACTCATCTGGGTTTTTTTTTTGGAAATAGGACAATTTTTTCTCTGAATTACATAGTGGGAAGTCCAAGTGGTGTGAGAGTTCAAAGTTTTCTAAGTTTCCAAGTCTAAGAATGACAAGGATGATATTTCCCACCAGCAGAGGCTCGTCATTATGAGAGACGGGTCTAGAGACTCATGGCTGATGCAGCGGCAATTGTTCTCATCCTCCTAACTGCATCTCCGTTGCACCCTCTCGTTCCTGCTGCATTCCCTTCATCTGCATTCTCACTGCAGAGATGGAAAATTGCTCACCACCCTTACAATGGGATGTGCTAATTTGACCTTGTGCGTTCTCAGGTCAGCCGCTGTACCTAATTGGATGCTGATCCTAAACATGTTTTCCTTATTGGCCGCATTCTGGGAGATTGAACTGGAAGGCACACTTCTGACTGAAACGGGTTGGAACTCGTAAAGGGTCATGACAGCTGAAAATACTCTCAGTCCAAAAAATTCCATTTATGATGTTTATAACCTCAGGGTGTCCGCCAGCCTGTAGCACACTTTGTGATGGTTCAGTTCAGACTTTTTGCTTCTTTACAATAAAATGAGGGCACCTAGTTTTATTGTAGAATGGAGAAGTGTATATTTTGCCCTGCAATAAGCGCTACCTTAAAAAGGTAAATTTTCAGAAATTGCAATCATAGAACAATGATTCTCCCATTTTTGATTTATCACTAAAAATAATTTCAACTACCCTTTCCCAAATGTGTTCCCAGATGAAAAAATCTGATATCTTCTTGTTGAAGTTAAGGCACACAAAATATATGTGGTACCATTTTTCTGATCCTAGATAGATCAGCTCCTCTCTGGTTTTATATGATAGTAAGTAAAGCAACTGCATTACTTAGGCTGCATACATGCCTGGCTGAGCTACATATTTAAAAATTAACATTGTAATTTAAAAAAATAATTTCAGGTGTTGGGATTACATGAGGAAGCAACTTTGGAAGAGATCAACAAAAGTTATAGAGAGTTGGTGAAACGCTGGCTATAACATTCATCTAACTATCCTGATTTAAACCCCATGCAAACCTCC